TCTTATGGAAAATATTTATATTTACTAGGTCAGCGGTAAGACTAATATTAGCAGTAGCACCATTCTCAAATATTTTTCTTCTCTCTCTCCCTCCATTCGCAGATCTAGGGGTGGGGTGGGGGGGGGTCAGGACCCCCCCCTAGAATTTGCACGGTTATAAAATATATATACAAAAGCAAGAGAAAAGTTACCTCCTTGGACCCCCCTCGGAAAACGCAGACCCCCCTGATAAACGCGAATTTGTAGTAAATTGGTATAAAAAGTCAAAGATTTGAATCATGAAGTCATTGACTACACCCCCCCCCCCCCCCCCCCCCCCCCCCCCACCCCCCCCACCCCCCCGAATTAGGTTTTTTAAGTTTGGGTGAATTTTTTTTTTTTTTTTTTTTTTGCTTGTCGAGAAATTTCTGGGTTAAACATTTTTTCAGGACTGGGGTGGACCCCCCCTGGGAAAAATTTCTGGATCTGCGCCTGCCCTCCCTCTCTCTCTCTTTCTCTCTCTCTTAAAGATACAAACAGTATTGACACTCTAAGTTACTTAAATACTTGACATTTGCTCCGTTTATTCACATTGCCGAGGGGGATAGATCACTATTTAGTTTTTAGATTTAATCTTTAAGTATTTTTTAATCATGATTCAATTTTAACAAAAATATTACATGTTTTGTACCTTCCATTTTTCCCCTGTAGCTATCAGTGAATTGGAATTAATTTGATTTTATGTGCTGAAATTAAATTTCATCTCATTAAAGTAGGTAGGCGTAGGGTGTTATGATGTTAACATAATAATAAGGCAGAATGCAGACTTGTCTAGTAAAATATTTTACGAAGTAGTGAAAATTGGAAGTCATTAGTCCGTCGAACCAGTGCTCACAAATATTTATTTCGAACTCTCTAGCATACATGTATAAGCCCCCCCCCCCCCCCCTATGCACACACGTTACATGAAAAAAAATCTAGTATACCAGTACTTGAATATGATTTATAAAAATGTGTAAGTTTTTTGAATGATGCAAATTTCTTTGTCCATTTGATCAATTTATACCCGTCCCGTAATCATTATTTATTTGATTCAGGTTTCATTAACATCTTTCCTTTGCATGATCTTGGTTATTCGCTAACTGTAGGTTCCCACTATCTTCCGTGACGAGTTACCATTCATCTCTCTCTCTCCATCCTCTCTCTCTCCAAAAAATCAATATCGACCCAGGCAAAGTTTAAGATACATGTATAGTTAAACTCCGGCTGATTTTTTTTTACTGTCATAGTACTGCTGCATATAAATTGTGTTTGATTTTTAATCATTCTTAATTACTGATAAAAAGTTAAGGAAATATACTATGAACTATTTTTATTTGATTGATAATCAAACAAATTCCTCACTCCACTGTCCCCCACACACACTAACACGACCTAACAAAAAATATTAGAGACCAGTAATTTTTACAACACTTTGGATGTAATGTACCCCTTCTCATATATTTATTTTTGCTTAAATCTTTAAACAATTTGTGCCTTTCCCCGGTTGGATTTTACATCAATCTTCTTTTTCATTAATCGTTAATTTTATCTTACGTCGGTATATTAAAAAAAATTATTTATTTAATCTAAGAAGAGGTTGAAGGATTGTAGATTGTATATTTATATTACGTATGTGTTGGTGTTGAATTTCTCAAATTCAAACTGTCTTGAAGAAGAGTCTACCTGTCGCCGTAATGTTGCGTAACTAACTTCTAGTGAAATCCGGCGAGTGTTCTTCTGTATAATACAGCAGTGACACCTATTGTCTTCTTTACCCGCTACCGTACACACTCGGATCACCTCAGGCAATTTCTTCTACACACAGGTGCTTCACAGAGTTTCCGATTGTATGTTGAATGATTATGTAATTCGGCTGGATACCAGCTAAACGACTTGAATAATTTTGGACGAATAAAAAGCACAGTGTTACTGTAAAATCATGATACTGGTTTCAATACCGAACAAAGCTATGAAACGTCGATTTATTAAGTTAATTAAGTTTATTTATTTTTTTGTACCTAAACAGATAAAAAGGAGTACAAACTTAAACAGGACAGTATTAATTGTGTGTTCCACTTTAATAAAATAAATAAGTACATGTTCATCGTTCTTCATTTAGTTCACACGTGCTCCCCCCCCCCCCCCCCCCCCCCATTTTAATTTGAAAACACAAAAAGAAACTAGATCCATGTGAACGTCTACCGACACTCTAATTGAAAAGAACATTGATATTAATTTCTATCAAAGTTTTGTTTCAGGAGTATGCATAGACAAAAGATGATAATATAAAATGTCATAGTTTTTCATGTATTTGAATTAAAATAACACTTTCAGGTGGGGATCCAGAAAATCCAGATTCGAAAATCAGCTAAAAGATGTACATTATTTCAAAAGAATAATGCGGACAGTAACTAAATCAATGAATGTCAAAGGATCAATGATCAATGCAGGCCCGTAGCCCCCCTCCCCCTGCCCAATGAATAAAATAAAAAGTCTTTTTTTTATTTAAATCCCCCATCTGTCTTTTAATTTTGGTTTCTTCTTGCAAATGCTTGGATTCGGGTATGTTTGACTGCACAAAAACAAATATTGGCGGCGTCCACACAATTAAAATTTTTACATAATATGAAAACTATAACAAACGCCTTTCCTCAAAAACATTAAGAAAATATTATAAAATGCATGTTATGTAATAACAATGTTTTATTATAAAAAGGAAAAGACCTCTGTAAAATTTCATATCTCACTACTAAAGGAAGATTTTTATTTTTTTTAATTGATTATCTTTTTGAAGGTTTTGAAATTTTATCCCTTCTCTTGAAAATATATTTTTACAAATCAATTTTCTATAAATATAGCAAAGAAGCTTTTTTTTCCAAAGATATCATCTGGACATAGTTAAAAAATTATCTGAAAAAAACAAATAAATGAAATAATAATCTATGTTAAAATAAAAAAAAATCAATTTCACACCACTGCAGCCTCCCCGAGAGCGAGAACAATAGGGTCAGTAATTATCAGTAAATGTCAGCACTTGTCTAAGTTTTTCAGCAGGGACAGTAAACGGGTCAGTAATTGTCTAAGTTTATCAGCACTGACTAAGATTGTCAGCACTTTTCTAAGTTTATCAGTACCGGCAGTAAAAAGGTCAGTAATTGTCTAAGTTTTACAGTAACGACAGCACATTGTCAGTAATTTTCTAAGTTTGTCAGTAAAAAATGGGAATGTCATTACGATTTTGACTTATTAGTGGGCCAGGATGCTTCCACATAAGTTTCAGCTTTCCTGGCCCAGTGGTTCTTGAGAAGAAGATTTTCAAAGATTTTTCCTATATATTTCTATGTAAAACTTTGATTCTCCATTGTGGCCCCGCCCTTCCCCAGGGGGTCATGATTTGAACAAAATTCAATTTACACTACCCAAGGATGCTTCCACATAAGTTTCAGCTTTTCTGGCCCAGTGGTTCTTGAGAAGAAGATTTTCAAAGATTTTTCCTATATATTTCTATGTAAAACTTTGATTCTCCATTGTGGCCCCGCCCTTCCCACGGGGGTCACTATTTTTACAATTTAGAATCTACACTACCCCAGGATGCTTCCAAATAAGTTTCAGCTTTTCTGGCCCAGTGGTTCTTGAGAAGAAGATTTTTTAATGACCCCACCCTATTTTTGTCTTTTCTTGATTATCTCCCCTTGTGAGGGGACTTGGCCCTTTATTTTAATAATTTAAATTCCCCTTCACCCAAGGATGCTTTGTACCAATTTTGGTCAAAATTGGCCCAGTGGTTCTTGAGAAGAAGTCGAAAATGTGAAAAGTTTATGGACGGACAGCTAGACAGACGGACGGCGGACAAAATGTGATCAGAAAAGCTCACTTGAGCCTTCGGCTCAGGGGAGCTAAAAATGATTTGTATGTTTTTAATGCATGGAATTTCAATCATTCAGAAAGGGTGAATTCTAATTTCTTACATCTGTCTTAAATTTTGAAGGTCATTATTTTCAAATACATAATTAAAAGATTTTTTTTTCATTTTTACTAATAAAAAATGCATTAAAAAACTGAGAGTTTAAAGGTACTTGGACACAGATTTGAAGTTAATATTTTCTGTATAATATCACGAATTATATACATGTATTTTAATAGCATTTCATACAAAAATTAATTAAAAATCTTATTACATTTAAAAGTTATTAAAACTTTAAATTTTTTGGCGGGTTTGATTGACACATCCTTGCACTTTTACAAATTATTACTTTATTCATACATAATCCTTAGGAAGAGTGGCAATCTTGTTGTGTATTAATGAGAAATATTAAAACTTGAATCCAGAAAAATAATTTTATTCAGAGTAGAAATGTTAGAAAGCAAACCTCCTTCACAAGTATCGTCATTCCGTTGTGTACAGAGTTTTGCAAATCGATCACACTCATGTTATGTACACAGTTTTTGTAAACAGGGCAGAAGCTCTGTTATTGTTTGATGTTTACGATTCACTGGGTGCGTTCAATCACCAAAGTCTGCTCACCACAACTGCACGGACTGACAATATATTGTGTGTTTGTTTTGCTTTCGAACATGTCTACTCTGAATTTTCTGGATTATAGTATTAATATTTTTCATTAATACACAACAAGACTGCCACTTTTCCTAAGTATTAAAAATAAAGTTAAAATTTGTGAAATTGCAAGGATGTGTCAATCAAACCTGTCAAAAAATTTAAAGTTTTAATAACTTTTAAATGAAATAATATTTTTAATTAATTTTTGTGTGAAATGCTATTAAAATATATAAGTCGTAATATTATACAGAAAATATTAACTTCAAATCTGTGTCCAAGTACCTTTAAATTATGGTCTTTCAATGCTGAAACCATAGTGTAAAAGGGATCTCTTCAAGATCTATAAAATAAAATTCTGGTGTGGCATTCCTGCTTAATTAAGAAATAAGTGTCAAGATTTCCAAGAAAGATTGATAAATACCCAGCATGCAAGTCACTAAAGCTCTGGGTGAGACTGGCAAATGCATTGTTTGGTGATTTTACAGTTGAGGTGGCAACATGTGTAACTTGCTCCAAGGAAACCTGTCAAAACACAAGATATATCTTCTAAAAAATTATTCTTTGCAATAGTTAAAGAATGGGTGGAATTAACTGGCCAGAAAAAATGTCATTAAGTTTCATAAAATGTTAATTTTTTTCATCATATAAACCCCCGATAACTTAACCGTATATTCATGGTACAAATGTGAATATAAAATGCTCTTTTCAAGGTAAACTTAATAAATATTGAAGGTATGGTGCCTAAAGATTTCTTGAATATCAATAGATAATCAGGGTCACACATTTTTCATTGTCTGAATACATAGTTAGCACATGTTTGTTGGCTGTTTTTAAGAAAACTGTAGTTGTATATTAAACAAAATAATGTCATATTAAAAGGAGAAGAATTGACTAACATGCACTCAAACTTATTTAACAAAAAACATGTTCAAAACAAGCTTCTCAATTCGATTGTTATGACTGTTTTAAACTTGATTTGACTCTGAACTGTTTAATATTACAATTCATCACATGATGTCCAACTGTGCGTGTACTTGTGAAAACATGCAGTTACATTGAATTCTTCAACCTGACCTCTATCTAAATCACTATCATGTTTGATTTCCGTTTTCCGTTTTCAGAATTCAGCTAATTAAATGTTGTCTAAATTTTGTATGTCCTCACATTTAAAAAGAATATTCATATTGACATCACTGTAATATGCCTATTAAACAGGTATTAATTCGAATTTCTATATAGAGAGAGGGATAGAGAGACAGATGTCAAAAATGACACTGATCGATTGCCCCATTTTTTTTTTAATATTGATTACAAAACTTAACAAGAGGCTCATGGGCCACTTCTCTCTCGTAAGAAACTTTGGCCATGCTGTTCTTTAACAGATTTCACCCTTAAATACCAATTGTGACCACGCTCTACCACCAGGGGTCATGATTTGGACAATTTAGAATCTACACTACCCCAGGATGCTTCCACATAAGTTTCAGCTTTTCTGGCCCAGTGGTTCTTGAGAAGAAGATTTTCAAAGATTTTTCCTATATATTTCTATGTAAAACTGGCCCCACACTACCCCCAGGGGTCCTGATTTGAACAATTTAGAATCTACATTATTTCAGGAAGCTTCCTCATAAGTTTCAGCTTTTCTGGCCTAGTGGTTCTTGAGAAGAAGATTTTGTAAGATTTTTCCTATATATTTCTATGTAAAACTTGGATTCCCTATTATGGCCCTGACCTATCCCGGGGGTGATGATTTGAATAATTTAGAATCTACACTACCCTTGGATGCTTCCACATAAGTTTCAGCTTTTCTGGCCCCGTGGTTCTTGAGAAGAAGATTTTTAAAGTTAAATTTTTCTACATATTTCTGTGTAAAACTTGGATTCCCTATTTTGGCCCCACCCTACCCCGGGGGTCATGCAGTGATTGGGAAGGGCTTGCACCATGCGCCATAGTTGCACTGAAGTGAAAAATGGCACATTTAATCAATCAATCATGGCACCAATGTGCGCATTCAATTTTTAGCGATGTTTGGAAATATTTTGCGTACAACTTTCTTTCTTGTTTTACTTTCGTTTTCAATGCAGTCAATTTAAAACAACAAATTTCATTGGTTGAAACCTGTCAAAAAGTACTTTTGGTTAAACGCAATGATACTTATTTGTATGGTAGGGCTGTTCACTTTCCAAAACTGTCGTAATTTTAACACAAAATACGGGTCATTTATATTCTATGAAAGTTCCTTTAAATTTGCTGCATTTTCATACATTAAAAATCGGATTCGGTTAATTAAAAATGTGTTTTCTCTTGTATTTCATATTTATTTGTCCCTTTATTTCTTGATTGATTGTATACTGTTTAACGTCTCTCTCCAGAATATTACACTGATATGGAGACGTCACCATTGCCGGTGAAGGGCTGCAAATTTAGGCCTATGCTCGGCATTTACGGCCTTTGAGCAGGGAGGGATCTTTATCATGCCACACCTGCTGTGACACGGGGCCTCGGTTTATACGGTCTCATCCGAAGGACCGCCCCATTTAGTCGCCTTTTACAACAAGCAAGGGGGTACTGAGGACCTATTCTAACCCGGATCCCCACGGGGCCCTTTATTTCTTGAAATGGCCCTTTAGATAATATTGATGGCACATTCATTCTTGAAATGGCCCATCAACAATGTTGACAGTTGCGCCATAGTCTCATTGACCATTTTGGCCTTCCCAATCACTGGTCATGATTTGAACAATTTAGAATCTACACTACCCCCAAGATGCTTCCACATAAGTTTCAGCTTTTCTGGCCCAGTGGTTCTTGAGAAGAAGATTTTCAAAAGTTTTTTCCTATATATTTCAATGTAAAATATTGGATTCCCTATTGTGGCCCCCCTACCCCTGTGGGTGACGATTTGAATGATTTAGAAACTACCCTTTTCAGGATGCTTCCACATAAGTTTCAGCTTTTCTGGCCCAGTGGTTCTTGAGAAGAAGATTTTTAAAGTTTTTCTTTTCTACATATTCCTATGTAAAACTTGGATTTCCTATTGTGGGACAGTCCTACTCCCGGGGGTCATGATTTGAACAATTTAGAATCTACACTATTTCAGGATGCTTCCACAGTGGTTCTTGAGAAGAAGATTTTAAAAGTTTTTTCCTACATATTTCTATGTAAAACTATGTAAAACTTGGATTCCCTAATGTGGCCCCGCCCTACCACCGGGAGTCATGATTTGAACAATTTAGAATCTACACTTGCATCTACACTACATGAGAATGCTTCCATATAAATATGATCAATTATGGCTATCCTTGATCATATTGGTCATATTTTTTGGATGTATCCTTAGGTAGTGTAGATCCAAGTTTATTTAAAGCAGGTTTCAAGTGGGTATAAATTTTAGGACACAAAGGGTCATCAAAGTTTTACTTAGGAATACACTAAATGCTTCCTATGAGCCTAATTATTTGTTATATTGTGATTAGAACAGCAAAGCAATAATTGGTCATAATTAATGTTGGCAACGAGTACCCGGTTAACCGATTAAACGTCGAACGATGCGAGTATCGGTTAGTAAAACTGCTAACCGGTTACTCGGGTAAAAATACATTTTTCATATTAAATACGTATATAATAATTTTTAAGCTATTTGTAAGTGTATATTTAAAAATTTCCCTAATTCAATTACCGTTAGGCTTGCGCTAGTTGTTCACAAATAGGAATGATTTGTTTTGATTAGTTTAATTGATGGCTTTAATTGTGAGGGGGTATGCGTTTTGAAGACCTGAGTCATAATTACCTCATTTTAATAGACCTGTGTTAGAGGAACATACTTTAGCTAAATGCCGCTATAAACATCAAGAGTGTGGAATATTGTTAAAGAACTCGAAATCTGTCAAATTCAAATAATGTAGATCGTAGTTGTCATATACGGGTAAAACTATAAATATGCTAAATTACCATAGATTGAAACATAATTCGATAACCAGCAATTTGCAGGAGACTCAACAAAACCAACCGTATGTTAATTCCCCTCAATAGCGACATATATCGTGACACATATCTTCTTCGTATGTTGATATAAATAATCATGTTCTTAAACAAAAAAAAACCACACGCATTTAAAATTAATATTCTTCGAAGATATTGTGTGTGTGCGTGTTTTTTGATTTGAGTTTGTATTTGTAAATAAAGTTCATATATCTAATATCTGTGGTTTATTTCTACCAATAAGTAAAAGGATGAGATTAATACTAGGTAATAAAAATACGGAAACTTTAACAAAAAATCATCTGAGTAACCGGGTACTCGATCGGAAGATTAAGCGAGTAACCGGTTACTAAAAATTGTCCGATTTGCCAACACTAGTCATAATTATATATATGGAACCATCACCAGGTAGAGAAGAAACAATTGTTTTAGCTCACCTGAGCTGAAAGTTCAAGTGAACTTATCTGATTATATTTTGTCCAGCATCCGTCTGTCCAACTGTCTGTCTGTCTGTAAACTTTTCACATTTTCAACTTCTTCTCCAGAACCACTAGGCCAATTTCAACCAAACTTGTCACAAAGTATCGACGGGTGAAAGTATTCAAGTTTATTCAAATGAAGGGCCCTGCCCTTATTCAAGGGGAGATAATTCAGAAATAGTGAAAATTTGGTGGCATAATTTAAAAATCTTCTTTATGGGGAAACATTCTCAGGAAGTGTAGGTTCAAGTCTGTTCAAATCATGACCCCTGGGGGTAGGGGCGGGCCACTATGGCCGATAAAATTTTTACAAAGAAATATACCGCTTAAATGAGTTAAAATATAGTGAAACCAGAAGTCTCTGTCGAGACTGTAACTCTACTGGTTTGTACTTATAACAAAGGATGAGAAAAGAAGCCACTGCCATTAGATCAAAACCATAGAAGGAGTAGCGTTTTAAAGGAATTTCACCAGGGGTGTGCAATTAGAAAAATCAATAACTAGCCCACAGGCTAGTGGCAGCTATAAAATTACTAGCCCCAAGTGAAAAGTTACTAGCCCAAATATAGGGGCAAAAATTAAAATAAAAAACTATACGTTGAAAAGAAATTAATTGTTGAAAAAGTCAGGGTACTGAGGTCATTCTTTTTAAAATTAAAGTTTAATTCTCACTATGAAATTAAATCATGTATAAATTATAATGAAAGAAGATTAAAATGAATTTAAATAAATTATCCTTTTTCTGAACATTGCACTAGCTCATTTAGAATGAAATTCAATTCATTTTGTTTTCATCTTAAATCATTAAATACACCATAAATATATTTTATGTGCTAATTTTGACTATCATAAAACACTTATCTTATATATAGCAGTTGATTGTACAACAATAACGCTTAGTTTTCTCGGCTTTCCTCTATCGTCAAAGTTAATTTAATGAGATGATATATGATCACATATTTTAAAAACAAATCATTGTATCATGTATTTACCATAAACAAAAGAATTACAATTACGAGGAATTTAATCAAATCTTACACACTTAGGAAACACAAGATGGTC